TGTGTAACGTCCAGAAGGAAGCGTTTCCGATCCCATAAAGTATATATATTCATGATGAGCATTAATAGCCGAGTCGATTGAGCCATGTCTGTCTGTCCGTCCTTGCTATGAGAGCTAGAGCAGCCTTATTTTGTATTATTATATCACACTATTGCAAGACTATTTTAAAATTTCGCCCAACCCCCTTCCGCCCCTAAAATTGACAAAAATCTGTGGCATACGCAATTTTGAAGATACGAGAAAACCGAAAATGACCTTATCTACCAGATTGCCGAATCGGGTTGTTGTGGGATCATTATTATAGTGCAGTGGCAACTCTACCCCAGCCACGCGCTCACTCATTTACTCTGCCGTGCTCCCTCTCCCTCACACAATCTTGCTCGTGCAGTGCAGTGTGCGTCCTCTGGCGGAGAGGAGCAAGATACAACGGCTGGTGTTGTTCTGGAAATGGAGAAAAAGAGACAGATGAGTATCGGGTACGAAAGTAGAGCCACAACGCTCCCGCTCTATATATATTGGAAGAAGATATCCAGCTAATGGTGTCTCACCCGACCAGAATGCTGCGCCACGCAACTCCACCTCGCAGCCAGCCCAAGCAGCACACGCGCGATTATCAACAATCTGTACAGCAATTAAACTTGAGTGCAATAAAAGTTGTTAGTGCAGCAACAGCGGGTAAACAACGATGACAAACGCTTCTAAATAAGGAAGCCAAAAGTTATGCACTTTTTTAAGTGAATATGATTGCATTCTAATGTCAGGCCATAAATTAGCAAGGCGGACGAAGGCGTCCGAGCGGCCCCGCCGCCGTGGCATGTGGCCGAGCTCAGCACGCGACCGTAGACCCCACGCCGCAGCGCCAGCTACATCTACTGGACCCCTCTGCGTGTTACGTGACAGGAGTATGTGAAACTTTTCAACTTGAACGAAAATTTATATGCTGAAAAATACAGCGAGCGAAGCCACTGCCGACCACCAGCAGCACTACCACTGCCGCCAACAGCGGCAGCAGCAACAGCAACGGAAGAGGGTAAAAATGCGACAGGAGACTATTACGACACTAGGATACCCTCAGGTAGAAAAGGCTCATGTGGAAAAATAATTTAGGTTAGCTATGAAATTAGTTTCCATTGCTGGAAAAAACCAAGCTTGGTTCCTGGAGCTATCTGAGTCCACGATGTCCATGGGACCGAGCGGATGGTCGGTCCCCTTAAAAATTTGTGTGTTTCCATGCAAATTGAAGAAGAGTCAGATATACTCCTTGTGCTCTAGGAGAAAAGGGAACAAGGAAAGAAAAGAGGGGAAAAGGGGAAAAATGCGCGAAAAATTCGCAGAAAGCTTGTAGAGGGCGAGGCACGGGCAGCGCGTGAGGGAGTGATGAAGTACGAGTCTTGCAAGTGGTGGGGCAGCGACATTTTGTGCGGTTTCGCGTGCCACGGGAAAGTTGAACGTGCTCGGCTAATGCTGAAGCTGATGCTGAAGCTGATGCTGAAACCGCGATGCCGCCACATCGCACATCTGGCATAGCCCAGCGCCAGGAGGAGGCTCCAGCGGGCGTGGCTGATGCTGATGCTGATGCCGCCGCTGAAGATGAAAAACTGCTGCGGATTACGTGGTGGTAAAAACTTTTTGACGCTTGATTTTCATGTTGATTGTAATCCTTATATTTCAGCGTGATCATGAGAGCATCCAGAGGAGCAGCACTGGCACGGGCGTGGCAGTGGATCAAACTTTGCCGCCCCCGAAAAAAACGTGCGGGGCGGAGCGGAGCGCTTGATTCCCGTTCCGCCGCTGTTGGGGCGCTGAGAGGAAACTGGCTCGTTTCGAGGATGCTGCCTACGGCTCCTCTTGTGGTCCAACATGCGCAATGAGTGCCACAGAAGTATGTAGAAGGCACACTAGCCATGCTTGCCGCTGGCATCCAATGAACTTTCCGCATCGCTGCACTGCCCAGCATAGAATGGAGTGCCTGCAACAATGCGAATGTGACGTTTTCTGCCTGCTGGGTGAATGCGAATATTTTGCAACTGTTAACGAGCGGTTGGCTCATGTCCGTGCTTCTCCTTTCAGCTTTTGCCGCGACGCTGATTTCCATTTGGCAGTTGACCATTTCCATTTCCCCAATGGCCCGACCAAGTGCTGACATCGCTGGGAGATGCTTGAATAGGCCCCACCCCCGTTCCGGATCCTGGCTGGCTGGGTGGGTGGGGTAAGTGTGCTTCGTATTTAACATTTTTGATGTGGCCAGTCCTGGTATCATGCGGAGCCTAGCAGCGGAGGCGAAACTAATTTATTTCCATTAGTCCTCGGCGATGGGATGGGCTACGTGAAATATTTCCGCTAATTGGCATTTGGCAGGCCACCACGCGCCCAAGCAAGACCTGCGACTACAACTGGCACCGAGACCGAGACCGAGACAGAGACCTAAAGCACTCCACCAGAACATTTTGTAATTAATCATTTTCTGATTTGGCATTTGGACTTTTGGGGCCTTGCTTGCTCGCTCTCTCTCTCTCTCTCTCTCGGAATTTTTCCGGCTATTTGCCATCGCTCGGCATTTTACGCGCCGTTAAAGTTTAATCGAAAAAGTATTTTTGTGGCCAATGAAAATTCCAATAACGAAATGCCAAACAGCGGCGACGAGAGAACAACAACAAACTTCTTGACTTTTTATGCCCTCCAGGCAGCGAGTGGCAGCGAGAGGCAGCGAGAGGCAACGAGAGGAAAAGGAAGTTTTTGTGTGCGCCGAACCTCTCGTAGAGTTGGCGTCGATGAGGGCAGGTCACTTTTGCTTGATTAGTGCTGGACCAAGGAGGAGGCAGATGAGCAGAAGCTGCCACTGATGCAGCCGGAGTTGGCAGTTGGGACAGCCAGAGCCACCTGCAATTGACGGACGTTCCTCCCCATCACCAATTGTCTAGCCCGGCTCAACTTTTCCAATGTGTTGCGCTGTGCGGCGCGGCGGCCATTCGCAGGAAACAAGAAAACTTTTCCTTCTAATGCGCAATTAAGCTAAAATTTCAAACTCCTCCTCCGCACCTATCACCCCGCCCATTGAGGAGCAGGACCTCAGTGGACTGCAGGTAGATGGATCCTGCTGGAACCAGGGGGTATCTCAGCCAGACCATACCGAGCAAGGTGAGTTAATCAGCTGTCAGCCAAAGAACATATTTCGGTCTAGTTTATCGTATTTAGCCATGCAATTTCACCGCCGTACTGCAGTCTAAATCAACCTACAGGTAGTCCATGACAGTCATTGACATTCGTCTACGAGAATAATTCGAATAATTTTTACAAAAAACTAGGTATGTATAAAAAAACTTGGTCTACAAAATTTAGCCTTTCTAAGGAATAACTATTTGCCGAATTATTTTGGATGTCTGTCTGTCCATGTCTAATGGATGAAATATATGTATATGGATATGGTATATTAGTATATGGATCTAATTTTTGACATGACCTTACAAAAACATATGCCTCAATAAGCCTCAAATTTGTTTTAAAACAACCTCACCAAAAACGTTTAAGATAGCAATACTCAAGGATTTTTATAACTGCGACAGCCCTATAACAGTACGAACAGTCACAAACCAGTTAGTTTTGTATGCGAAAACTAGTTGGTAGTTTTGCTAGATGGTTTGGTTTTTATACTCGGTACTTAGAAAGAGCTGCACTGTGTGTAATAGACATTCCTTCTGGTCGTTTCCGACCCCACATATGTACATATATATTTACATATATTCTTTAGCAGCATCAATAGACGAGTCGATGTCTGTCCGTCCGTCTATCTGTATTGCTTAAGAAATATTTCTCAGAGACTGTAAGAGCCGGAGAAAACTTCGCTTGCTGTAGACTCCTGTGATATTTTATACAACTGTATCTGCAAGTTTTCAATATTTATTTCGAAGAGTGTAGTCTGTGTCCTTAGTCTTCTCCGGCCAACATAGATAATCTTGATTGCTTGTCCACGTGATATATATATACATATGTATATAAATGTATAATTGTCCGTGTGAAAAACATAGTGCCTTAGAACTTATTTGTTGTCATTTCGAATGCCAATATAATAGGAACTTGAACGCGTTTGAAATCAATTTGCACCTCTGCTGGAATTATTGGAATGCGTTGTAGCAAAAAATGTTCGCCTCTGAATTTGCCATTTAAAATGGCTGCTTCGACAATGTTTTTCATCAATTTGTTAATCACCAATCGCCTGCCACTTTACACAGCCTTCGTGGATAATTCATACCTTCGTTCTCATCGCAAACTTAATCGATCGACTTGTATAATACCAATTCGCCTGGAAAAACTACTGTATCTTGAAGTTTAAATCATCAACCCTCACATTTCCTTCTGCCGAAACGACTCTTTCTGCCAGATGTGCCTGATTTTTGAGTACGATGAACGACGAATGACGGGAAGTTTTTCTCTGAAATCACAGGAATGGAGTAACAGAGTCTCGCCGAATAATTTGTCCTTGTTTTAAAGGATTTGTTAAACGCCTCAAGAGAATGTTTGGTTGCCAAAGCATTCATCGCAGATAATAATTTTTCATTGTTTCATCGCTGTGGCCAGGTGCAATTGCTTTTAATGTCTGGGGTATTTTAAATATTCGGACGCAGCTTAAGTTCTGAGCGAGCAGTTCTGCCTCCATCCAGTAAAGTTTCTGCAATTCGGGATGATCCAATGCATTGCAATGGCCAATGCGGTGCCCTTCACTTGGTGAATCCATGAAATGAATCCACCTTGTCCCGTCGAAACGTTCATGAGTCAAACGATACCACTTTTGACGCAACTGCGACATTCTCACGCGCACATTTTCGTTATCCCGTTGGGTTCTTAATATACTAAATACTAAATATAAAAATATAAATTTTATAAAAATCGATCGAGCCGTTTGCGAGGTGTCACAGATAGTTATAGTTAATTTTATTTTACTTTAATTTCGAACTTTCAAATTTCCATTTATTAAAATTCCACTTCACTGACAAAGCATATTCGAAGCCCATTTGAGATAGCAAACGAAATTACAAAGTGGACGAATCGCTCTGTCGATCATCCAGAATGGGCGCCATGCTAGGTACAACCAGCCCCCAAGCAAGTCTCCCCACAGAGCAGTCGGAAAATGCTACAGAGGCGGCTCCACGGGAGGTGGCCGAGACCAGGCCATATTCGCTCTCACCCAAGCCCAGCAGTCAGAGGCTGACCAGATCCAAGTCGAGCAAAGTGATGGGCAGCACTCGGAATATCCAACGATTGTGAGTACCAGCGGAGACACCTCTCACCCAGCTCCATTAAACTGAAAAATGCGCGTGCCTCAGACCAGCCGAGGCCATCCACCAGGAGTTCGATCGACTGCTCATCCAGGCGCAAAAGCATCTGACGGAAGTCGAGGAGAGACCATGCCTAGAGGCCGCCAGCAAGATGACTCGCTGCCTCCGCCAACACCGCCAGCAGGCCTGTAGGTGCTTCGATGCCATGGAGGTGTACCGCAACTGCGTGATCCGTGCCACGCAGGACCGCGTCGATGACATGGCCGATGAAGAGCCGCCAATGCTGCCCATGACGCCACCGCAATCTATACCACCGCCCGCTCGCCCCAAATCTCGCTCCCGCAGATGGTGGCAATTCTGGCACTGGTTCCGCTAAGAGCAGTCAGTTTGGCCTAGTCAAAATTAGCAGGGTGAACCTGAGTTAATTTGCTTGATAAGCTCTATATTCCATGCCCCCATTTAGACCGAAAATAAAATTAAGAAATGCCTTTTTTAATTGAACCCTGACTTCATTTGGCTCCATTTACTCACAGCTACAGTGGAGGCTGCCCACAAGAGAGCTTTGTCTCTTATTAAAGGGAATACTCCTGCTTTATAGCTGCTTTATGAAGAGTGTGTGATATGTGAGGGGCGGAAACGCCTCCTAAAACTCCACACGTCCACAAGTCAATCTACCCATGTCTGTGCATATAAGCCATTAAATGGACACACATTCAGTAGCAACTACCGAACGGAGGAATACACATTGCCATCCTCTTTGGCCAGTTAGTGGGAATACTGACAGTAGCGGTTTTTAACTGTATTCTCTACTTTGCTTTACTCTTGTATGCAATTTTATTTACAATTTATGTCCACAATTTTTCTAAATTTCATTTCTGCCTTTCAGATCTCATGTGGAACGAGTACGAGTACATGTGTGAGTCCTGTCCATCAGTGCTGGCTGTCACTGTACCTGCCGTGCACCGAGGCCATCGTATGCAGATGCAAATGCGATGCACATGCCGTATCCAGTTGCACATTAGCCTCCAGGTCCAGAGATGGGGCTGTCTGTCAGTGTGTACCACTCCTACTCAGTCCCTCTGTGTATCTGTCTATTCATTCATCCAAATGTCTATATCAGGCGGACGGAACGATGTGGAGCAAACCATAAGAGCTGCATTGGGACAGAGGGGGGGTAGAGGAGCGTGCAGGATTGCAATTTGCAATAAAAGTAAATCTGCTGTGGCGCCGAGCAGCTCCTGGCTCCTCCTGGCTCCACCAGCTCTTACATTGTTACCCTATCCTGCAGCACATGTGTGGGTGCGGTTTCGGGTTGAAAGCCTTTCGGGCAAGGTAAGCAAACATTAGAATTTATTAAATCCAGCACCAGCACGGCACCAGCGCCAGCGCCAGCTCCATCTCCATCTCCAGCTCGTACTTGTACGCGCACAGGTTCACGTCCAGCCCACCCACTTCTTGGCTTGCGCCCACTGCCGGGCAAAAAAGAAAAATTATTGCATATAAAACTCACCTTTCTAAGGGTGTGGTGGCGACTTTCGGGTCGAGGCGGAGCACATTCAACTTTTGGGCCACACACGGACACAGGGGCGCTGCTCGGGACTCGTGTGTATTACTAGTATACACACTCCCACACCATATATTTGTATGTACATATGTAAATAATCCAACTTTGCTTTTAGCATTTGGCAGAGCAAACAAAATGGTAGAATGGAAGGCGCAACCCAAGTGTTTACACGCCAGCTACACTGACCAAAAGCTGGCATTCGGGGAACCCGATCTTTTAAGGATCGCTTGGGCGACTGAGGCTAAAGGCGACTGAGCGGCCATTGCGGTCATTGCGGGAATCGGCTGGTGCGCAGCTCCCATTTCCATGGGCATTGCCAATTTCCAAGAAAATTGCTAACTTTTGTGGTATGACAATACCTAGGGCGGATCAGACGATTCGATAGCGTTCCTTATGCCCTCAAGGCACGGCCAACCTGAAAATGTCAATGCTTTTTTCACTTCCATTCCGGTGCTTTCATCGGGGGCGGTGGTATGTGTCTGTGGCTCTGGCTCTGGCATACATTTAGTTTATAAAAAAACAAACAAATGGAGTACGCAGAGCAACAAAACCATGCAACCAAATAACAGTGTACAGCGTCAGCGTCCGCCCCCAGTCTCAGTCGTTTCCATTCGGTTGCCCTTTTCCATAGTACGTACTAGTACGTCGACAAGCACGACCAGCCCCAGCCAGAGCCCTAGCCCCCAGCTCGTTTAACCGTGTGTTTTTTGCCTCATTTTTTGGTAACAGTTTTGCCCATTTTTCGTGCGGGGCTTGTTTTTTCCCTCTCGTTGTGCCATAAAGATTATTATGAAAGTATTTTGCTAAGCTTTTCTGCCCCTATCCCTATTCCTATACCTATCCCTTGCAGTCGAGTTGGGATGAGATGAGATGAAATGAGTGGGGCTTGCATCCCCTCAGCTCGCTGGCTGTGGCCGCCTCTATCTTGCTGTATCCATCTCTGTCATGCCATTTGGCTGGCACTCTTGAGGCTTTAAGTGTGCATGCATTACGAGTACGCCATGTGCAAGCCTCTCCTCTTACTCCATATATACATACATATACATATACATATACATAATATGCATGCATGGATAATTTATCAGGACAGGACACAGCATAGTTTTAAATTTGATTTAAGCGTTAGCTTCAACGGCCAGTCCGGACCATTGTGTGTCCACTGTGTGTCCATTGTTCCCATGTCCGTGTCCGTGTCCATGTCCATGTCTGTGTCGTTGTTTGGGTTGACCAACTGACAGCAGCTCAAATGCAATTAAATGACCTGGCCGCAAAACAAATCAAGCGCAAATCTGAACCGAGCTATTCATCCAAAACTTTCAAATGTAAATGCTCAGTGCAACATGCTCCATCCTTGGACAATACTCCCCAATGCACACCCGCTGCCGCTGACGGCTGTTTCTGTAGCTTCTATTGGCCACACTTGGCCCACTCGCCCTCGCCCTCGTCCTCGTCCTCGTCCTCGCCCGCTTGTCAGCTTGTCTGTCCGCACTCGGCTTGTCTGCCTGTCTTGTCAGTGTCGGGCACTCTGCTACCACCACAAACGCCATCAAGAGGACTGTTTTTGTGGAGTGTAAATATGTATATATGTACATATTTCCGAGTTGCATTATGAAATAAATCGAGTGAAGTGCTTGTTTATCGGTTACATAACGTAGATTAACACGGTTTAAGGTATTAAAATATTCGGAAACGGGCTTCAAAAGTCTAAATGCTCGTCGAAACTCGAAAAAAGTGCAATGGCTGGGAGGGTTTGATCGATAATTATCGAAAACGGGCAGTAAAGAGCCCGCTAATTTAAAAGCCTATGAAGAGCCTTTGGCCACAAATATCTCAGACGTATTCCCCAATGTATGTAAGTAGACATCAAATATGTACCTTTATAAATTGGTTAGTCCATAGTCCATAGTTTTAGCCAAATTAACTGGGATCGAGCTACCATTATGGAACATACCCATTGTGACCTTAATCTACACGATTGAAATCACAAATTTTCTGCTGTACAGTGTAACTTCCACTTCCACTGGCACTAAGCCCATTCCCCAAACCTTATAACAAATTGTATACCCTTGTAGTTGCCGTCTTGGGTCAGGTTGAAGTTAAAGTACGAGGTGATGAAGTCGTCTGGGAGGGCATATGGAAATCGGATAGAGCCCAACGAGCCAAAGTTGTACATGCTGTATTCAGCTGTCTTCCTTGGCTGCGTTGCATAAGTGCATTTGTCTGTTATCCTGACGAGCTTTTGTTTCACACTGCTCTCCCTAGTCCCTGACTCTTTCATGTCTGCCTGTCGTACTCGTAGTCCGTGCACTTGTTTTCAACGGAATCAATTTAGCGTAAGAAGTTTCAGCTGCAAGCCCAAGTTGTTTTCAGGAACTGCGACTGGGGCTGGGGCTGGGGCTGTTGCTGGGGCTGAGAAGAGGGAGGAATGTGTGTGGTGCAATTATGCCAACGACAGCTGCCTGGCAGCCTCGTCGTCGCTCTATTAATCAAAAGTTATACAAAAAGCCAGCGAACTTCGCCACACGCTACACACCCGGCCCCGGTCGCTCTGTTTGGATCCCGGTCCTGGTCCTGGTCCTGGTCCTGGTTCTGGCCCTGGGCTGGCTCCCTATTCCCTGCTCTCTATCCTTCTTCCTGTGCCCGCTTCCTCATCCTGTGCCTCCATGTTGTTTGCAATTTAACTTTGCTGTGAGCGAAGGCTCTTCATAAGTTGGGCACAGCTTCTGCATACATACGTACATATCTGTATATCTGTATCTGTACGTCTGTAAGCCTGTCTGTATGTCGAGCCACAGCGGGTAAAAACAAGATATAATATTTTATGAAACCTACCACTGCCCCAGCCGCCCCACTGAGGACTTGGGCTCATTGCCCATAAATAAATAAAGCAGCCAAACACAATCAAAAACCAATGAAGCAGACCAGCAGCCACAAATGACAGAAGGAGCAAGGAGCTGGCAAGCTCCTTGATACCGCCAGCGCAGCCCCATCTCCCCATCAGCCTCATCATCTCCGTCATCATCATCAGCTGAAGCAGCATAAACTTCACTTTTTGCCCCGCCCAAATCGAAGCCAACCAAGCAAAACACACACATTTGATAAAAGTAGTCCGATTTCTACACTGAATCATTTAGTTGTATTTTTGTCTTTTTTTTTTTTGCTTTAAGCTGGGCCAAATTTTGTACTTGGTTAGAATTTTTTTTGTTTGACTGTGTGGCCCAGTTCTTCGTTCAGCTTTAGTTTTATTAACTTCTTTATTTCACGTCTTTTCTCTCTTCTTGTCGATCGTCGAATTCCCCGCCTCAGACTTATCGCCGTATCGTATCGCAGTATAATATCGGGATCGGTTAGGGTTAATATAGGTAAGGGCTAATATGGGGTTGGTTAGGGCAAAGATTTAAAACTAATTGATAACCCACAAATTGTACCAGCCAGGTGTCGAATATTTCGTCTCGGAGATGCAAGAAAAGCAAGCAAAGGAATGATATGTTATCATAGAGCATACCCTGGCTAGGAAAAATGTACGAGTAGTAATCAGGCAGGCTTCGCTTGCGGATGGCGTTTTTAGGTGCTCTCCATTTCACAAATTTTTGGCATCGATATGTTTGATTTTCTCATCGCTTCTGGCAAACAAAAACAGCAGACCTACATAGTTGCCTCAAAAATATACAGCGTGATAAAAATGTTTTCATTTTTTTGAGTCGCTGGTTTTGAAGCACAACGATGGCAGAAAATGCGGGATTTAAGAAGATCAAGACATCATTAATGCAACACCTGAGTATTTAACGTGTCTGGAGAACTGTGAGTAACAGCATATTGGAAAATAAATTGACAATGCACTATAGTCCAGAATTCGTTTTTTGGCATAAAGTCGAGATTTTGATGTGAATGGATTACGTTTCTTCTTGCAAATTCTCAAAGTAAATTCATCA